AGTCATTGCTGACGTAATACGGAGGTAGAGGAGGGAAAGGTACGTGAGTGTGTGTCCGATTGTGAGAAGTGACTAATCACAAGGTCACCTGTCTAAAAAGACTCTTGCAGTCAGGGTAGAAAATTTAGAATCATACTTTTATATCCTGTTTGTGCTTCTTATTTTGATTTTTGCACTGAACTGTCATGTGAATATTTTTTACACATTATCATTTTAGCTGCCTTGTGTCCGTCATTGCTGACTTTATTGTTGTCCTGCTGTTTAAGCACATTGGGATATTTACACTGTGTTATACTGCACACTGCACTTTCAGGTCCACGCATTCTGAAGCGACTTTATATCAGAGTTTAATGCAGCTTGTCATTTCCTCATCTTAGCAGTCTCTGTGTTTTGTCTCTTATCCTCAGCAGCTGCAGATCCTGTGTTATATTAATGTGAAGGTATTTGGATGAGCTGCTGATTTTTAATGTACAGTACGTGCTTTGTTTGAACAAAGAAATATCACACAGCAATAATTTTTCAGGGGCAGCATGGTGGAATAGTGATATGTGGTGTCGCCTCACAGCAAGTAGGTTCCGGGTTCGAGCCCCAGCCAACCTGGGTTCTCTTTGTGTGGAGGCAGCATGTTCTCCCAGTGTGTGTGTGGTTAGAATTTGATAGACTGCTGACCTATCCAGAGTGGACCCCCCCCATGACCCTATTCAGGAATAAGTGGTATAGATAATGGATGGAATAATTTTACAGAGGTGTCATTGTAACACTTTGCGTGTGCAGATGACCTCGGCCTGTGCTGCATCTTTATGTGATCTTTGATTAAGGTTTTACTCAAAAAATATATTTGCAAAGTTGCACTTGATATCCAGTAGTGTTTGTTGTATGTATAATGTTGGGCTTTTATCTTATTTGTGTGTGTGTGTGTGTGTTTCTTGCTGGCTGCTGTCAGTATGGCTTCAACAGCAGCTGTAGATATTTAAACTATTTATAATTTCATGTTATGTAAATTAGGCCTATCAGTTATTATAAAGAGCAGTAGATAGTATTAGTTAATAACCGCAGTAGTAGTTCTGGCAGCATTAGGGGAACTAGTATTAGTGATGGTACTATTAGTGAAAGTACTGTTATTAGAAAGTAACCTGGTTTCAGACCACCCAGAATAATAAAATAAAAAAAAAACAATGAAGTGAAACAAAATGGCAACACAGTCAGAGTTTTATTGTAGATTTAATAGCAGTTGCAAATAACAGAAGCCATTTTTAGGAGTATTTATGTATATGTTCTTCTCTCTCTCACTGTCTCTGTAGTTTTGATGTGGAGAATGGCCTGTCAGTGGGTCGCAGTCCACTGGACTCTCAGATTAGCCCAGGCTCTGGTCTGGTGCTTCAGGCCAACTTCCCCCACAGTCAACGCCGCGAGTCCTTCCTCTACCGCTCCGACTCAGACTTTGACCTTTCACCCAAAGCCATGTCCCGCAACTCATCCACTGCCAGTGACCTGTGAGTATTTTAAAGATACTCTCTGTAACTTTTTGACAGTAATGAACCAACCAGCCATTAGCCTGTATTTCATGTGGCATCTCACATTGTGGGGTTTCTGAGTCTGATTTGTGGAGGAAATTTGTTCTCCTGGAAGTAACCATAGTGAGATGTTATTATTTATATTGTTTAAAATAAATGAATACATTTCTATAGTTTCCAAAGAAAAAAAGAAGAACAGTGAACCAGTGACAGGGTCATGTATGATGAGGTTGAGCTACAAATTCCATTTGAACTTTTCAAAATATTACAATTTGATTGAATCTTTGTTACAGTTGTTGAAATTGAGAAATACTGAAAGAGAAACATTCAGCAGCTATAGTGGTGATATCACACCTAGAGTGGGGAGGCTGCTGAATTTGTCTTAAAAATTCTCTCTAACTTGTCCTCATGACCACAGTTTTCACTCCTGTTACATATTTTTGTCACTGAATGGTAGTGACATTTGTGCTCTTCCTGACAGTAGAACTATGGAAGCAAACAGATTCACACAAGATGCACAGTGACACAAGTGCCGACCAACTGCCGTCTTGACTCCTGTGTACACAGTATTAAGCAGGCGGTCATAATGATATGGCTATTTTATATATATATAGTATTTATAGCATCAGATGACTTGAATTACAACCCCCATGCTACAGTAGGGAAACACTGGAATTTTCTGTATGTATATTTCTGTATATTTATGTATGTATGTAAACCCATCCAAGGTCCTATTTACACTCTAAAAAGTGCATTTCTGGCTTTAAAGAGGCTTTTGGTAACAGATCTCATATCTGACAGTGTAACCGGCAGACCAATCAAGTTTCGTCGGCATGTCCGACTAAAGCCAAAACTACAGTGTTACCTCAGAAGTAGTTTTTCATTCGGTTTGTTTGTTTATACAGCTAAAGATTTCTTTGTGCAGCTAGCAGTCTCTTTGAAGCCAGAGTGTAAATGGGGCCTCGACCGCCAATAGCTGTCGCTCCTTTGTTTTGAAGGGAGGAGGGATTGAAGTGTTGGGAAGTCAGTTGGCTACTTCGGTAAGACAAAGTGTGAAGACTGCTGTGATGTCTCTGTCTATCCCTTTTGGGCTGTGCCGTGCTGTCACAAGTCAAACCACCACCTCTCTCACCTGCCCACTTTGTCTTAAACACAACTTGGGAAAACTTGACTTTGGATGGTCAACTCCAAAAGCACCATATACGTTTTTTTCCCCAAAAAGTCATAGCAAGCATTTGACAAATGGTGATCTGGTATCACTCACATTTTAAGTGAACCCACGTTTGTCAATTTGATTATAAGGTGCAGTACAAATCGCATTTTTGATATTTGGCCTTGATTTCCCAAACAGTGAAATGTGGGCTACAGTCTTAGGTTTGCTGGACAGAGATGAACAGTCTGACTGGAGTGTGACCCTGACACTGTACCTTTCACCGGAAGCATGGATTTACCCTGAAGGCTGAGTGGTTTTGAGGTGCATGTCATGACCCGAAAGCTTCCAAAGAGCTCTACCCTTCCAAAAGTTGGCCTCCCCAGCACACAGTGCATGAATGCTGCTGCTCAACTGCACATAATAGTAGTTACACAAATGTGTATCTTGGAGGCCTTCTGTAAGAGCAGAAATAAATATGTATTACACAATTCTGAGCCTCAGCAAAACACAGGTCTGATATTGGGTTATTAAGTTGTCATAGCTAGCTCATTAGCAGATATTGGACACACATCTCTAGCCATGCAGTGAAGGTAATTTCAATATTAACCCGATAAATGTCTTTTGTTCCTTGTCAATTGGAAGAGCTAAAATTTATTATTTGTATCAACTGATTCAAAGTTCATTCTAAAACCATAACTTAATGCTGGTTTATCAAGACTGGCTAAATTAAACTTAAATGGGTGGTTGCAATATGGAAGCCTTCGTTGCCAATAAACAAAGTGAGGCTTGGTAAGTAATTCTCCACTAGGCTCAAGTCTTAATTAAAACTGTTTGAAGCAGTGGTTCTGTGTCTCTACCCATCTGCATCTCTAACTCCAAGACATGGTTGCATAACTAAAAAATAATCTCCTCTTCTCTCCCTGTATCCAGTGTGATATTTGAGATAAACCACGGGTCTCAGCCAACTGTAGTGTTTCCATATTGTCCTCGTTGTAATCTTAATGGCAACAAATTTATTTGTTGTCATTATTTGTGTTTGACTCGTGAGATTTTGGAGTCACATGGTGTTTCCCAAGCCCTTCTGTCTCCTGTGTGTCACTTCTTACGTGGCTTTTTCACTAGATGTTTGTCTGTGGTTTTTATAGGCATGGAGAAGACATGATAGTGACTCCATTTGCGCAGGTTAGTAGTATTTACAAATTTACTTCAACATGAAACATTGTGTGTTGCTACTGGCTCCTTTCTTTGTTAATTCAAAAGGAAATGCACAATCCAAACCCTGGGGCTATTTGCCAGCATTGATTCTGTGACACGTGGAAATTGGCAACGTCCACAGTTTTATACATGTGGGAGAAACAAAGCAGGACGGTCCATGTGAACCCAGAGGCTATGTTTGGTGATGATTAAGGAAAGTACGGGGTATACCACTCAATAGGTGGACACGCAGCATTAGACATTTTGTCATGTGGCACAAAAGAAGGTATGGTATAGTTTTACAAACTGTTTCCACATTGTTACATGGAATATTGTGTTACTTCACCAGAATTTACTGTATATGGACTTTACTTATATTGTAATATTCAAGGGTGGAACTCCTCTGACTAATTCAGGAAGCCCCCTGTAGATCATAATGCAATCACAGAAGTTATAATGTTGAGAAAAAAAAAAGTGCAGGGTCATATTTGTCTCCTGGGATGTTGCTGTTCTCTACTTTATTGTTTTTGGTCTGCGGCAGTGCAATGAACGCTTGCTGCTTTCATGGACAGATTGCGTTCTAATATACAGCGTTTACATCCAAACTGATACTGTCTAAGTGTAGGTGTGGGTCTGTCCAGACAATCCACATGGCTCCTCACTGGTCCTTACTCACTGGTTTGAGAAATAAGAGATTGTTCATTTTTCACACAAAACACCCACACACGCTCTCCTTGTACTGAACAGCTTGTTCTGAGTCTTTATGTGTGTATGTGCTTTTCAACATTGGCCAATTAACACAGTCTGTGTACGTTATATTTCCAAACTAATATCCAATATTTATTTTTGGCCTACCTGCGGTCAGATATTAAACTACTTTACCTGAATGATTTTTCCAGCCATATTATTAAAAATACAACAGATGTCAGACTGACTTCTCTGCAGACGATCGGTTTTATGTGTATTTGTGTCACATCTCTATCAAGCCAGTGGGGGCATCCAAAACCAGAATACAAACACACGTCAACTCTGTGGCATTTTGAAACTCCAGAGCATTAACATGCCTGCTCTCTGACATCAGACTTTTGGAAACCAGAGTGATTTGAAGATCCAACTCAAACAGTAGTATCACTGACTGATAGATACAATTCTACAAGCAAATATTTTAGATACTTATAGTACTTGTAAGTTTTTAAAGGGTTTCCACGACATGTTAGGCCATTAAACCTCTTAAATGTCCACTGAGTGTTTATATTTACTGTACAAAAAATACACATTGCAATGATCAGAAGCATTCTAAGATGTCATTTTTGTAAACATATTTTGGTAAAGATTCTTTTTGGGCAAAAGACTCACTCACAGTTTGGTACAGCTGGTATTAACAAAATTATATGATCAGGCTAATTTTTAAAAAAATGAATGGGCTGTTGTGGGTTTTCTGTGAATCTTTGTCACATCTCGACATTGCATTATTTCAACATTTTCAGCTGACAGAACAAATCACTTAGACCAAAACATACAGACACATCCAGGAAACATCTGGTAGTGTATATATTACATGAAAGTGTCCCCTAGGGGGCAGGTAGATCAACAGCCAAGCTCCCCCAGCTTCTATATTCAAATTCCACATCAATTTCTGGGAGTTCCCGGCAGTTTTCTCTGCTGCCTGCAAATTCCCGTGAATAACCATTAGCCTGAACTTCCACAACAATTTACAGTGCCACTTACTGATGAAAATCCCACTTTCATTGCACTGCACGGTGCATTTTCCATAACAAACCTAATTGAAATGACTTTATTTTAACGCTATAGCCTCATGTACTAAAATGTTCCCACAGTAACACAATAGAAGTGTTAGGCCACCACATACTACTGTATATTTGTATTCACTATGACTGTTTGTCAAGACTGCAGTCTGCACCTGTGTCACACACATCCGGTACTCATGTTGCTCCTTTTTTATAGGTTCTTGCCAGTCTACGGACAGTGAGAACTAACTTTGCTGCGCTGACACATCTCCAAGATCGTGTGGGAAACAAGTAAAAAGAACAAGAAAATAGTGCATTCTAACTCTTACTTCTTTTATTTTACTAAAACCCCATCTGTGTCTTGTTCCAGGAGGCCGTCCAGCAGCAACCAGCCATCCATGTGTAAACCATGTCTTACAGGTCAGTATTATCATGTCTGTACGATGGGACACTGGGATTTTATATGGGGAAAAACTCACTGTCGTCAGTGATGTCATCAGTAGTTTGTAATGTCTGTCATTTCCTGAATAATGAGTTTAGCATGACTATATTCTTCAAATCTGCATGAATGTTTTTTCCATTATCATTTTCTTTCCAATATAAAGATCACTGGGAGACACTTGAGGTCCCGAATGTCTCCAAATATTCTACAGAAACATTGGTCCAAGAATGTCTGTGTCAAACACCCACACTGACAAAATCATACTTGAACCTGATTGTTTAAAAATCTGCCCACTGTCACTCAGTGTAGCTGTGGGTGGCACCTCAAGTGTTGTTCAAAGTACAGCAAAGATGGTGAAGTTGTTCCAAGTTCAGGTTAAGCAGACTGACCTGTGTTTTATGACCTCTGAACATTCAGAGGAGCCCTACCAGAAGCTGGCGATGGAGACACTGGAAGAGCTGGACTGGTGTTTGGACCAGCTGGAGACACTGCAGACGAGACACTCTGTCAGTGAGATGGCATCCAATAAGGTGAGGACTAAGAAACCTCAGTACAATAGGTCTGTCAAGTTTTTCTCCAAACATTTCATTTCAGATCTAAAATACTATAAAGGAGATATTTACCAAGGTTTTGCAGCTCATTTTCTGGTACTGAACAGTGAAATTGCATGTGTTCATACACTAAAGTGTCGCAGTGGGATTTTCGAAAGAGAAACAGAAGAAATGCGGATCTCATGCAATATGTATTTTAAGCCATTCCCATTCAGGGATGCAGAGAGTGGATTTGTTGGGTTTTTCCACATAATAATAATAATAATAATCTTAATCTTACTTTGTAAAGTGTCCTGAGATGACCTTTTTGTGATTTGGCACTATACAAATAAAATTGAAATTAAATACAGGGTGAACATGACCATGAACATTCAAGTATGTGAGTGGCGTACCTGAATGTTCCCCACTTATATTCCAAAAACTTGCTGGTGTCACAATCACTCAGAATATGGTCCCAGATAAGGAGATACTCTGGCTGGCAAGCAGGATTTGTTCTAGTGCATTCACCCCATGATCTTTTGATTCTATATTTAATACTTAGCATGCAAAATCTTCCCCACATTTAATCATTCACAGGAAGAAAAATTGCTTATCTAATGCTCATTTCTTGCAAGTTTGCAACAATGTTAAGAAAACATTTCCATCTTTTCCCAATGAACCACCTAGCTCCACAGGGGATACTTTTCATCTGTCACTAAAAGAGCTATATCAATTAGCAGTAGTATTAGCGCTGGCACTAGCATAGTTGAATAACACAGCAACACATTTTGAGAGAGGCATGGCAAGTGGACATGGCAGTGGAGATCACAGAAGAACAGAAGGAGCACAAGGAGGTGTCCATTCATGTTCAATATGAGCCAGACATTGATTACAGCAGCTCAAAACTGCAGATATGTTCCCTTTAGTAGCTCCAAGCTGTGGGGTTAACGCTTCTTTTGTTGAGCTGTCAAATGACCAAAGTAATTTGATTTCTTGTAGCGCTGCTAGCACAATGACTAGTTTTATTAACCTGGGAACAGAAAAAATTCCACCAACCCATTCAGCCCTGTTAAAAGACATCTCCAGCTAGAAAAGATAAACATGTAACCCATCTGATATTTCAACCTTTTTTACAGTAGACCATTTTGTAAGATAAGCACATGACCTGTTATTGTTACAGTTTGATTTAGCTTTTATCTCATTATGAAATCCTTTTGAGTATTTGTAGTCTTTATAATTTTGTATTATGTTTTTCATACCAACAAAACCAAATAAACAGATTTATAAAAGAAAGGAAAACCAGCATCTCCTTATTTTCATCCTTGCTGCTTCTCTCCACCGTCTGGCTTCTACAGTCAAACATCCTCTGTCTCCTATTCAACCAATCCGATCCCTCTCCTCCACCCAACCCCTGAATCTGATTGGACAGAGAAGGAGAAACAGCATGTAGGGTGGGGGACGGGGTTCCTGAGAGCCTCTCCTTCCCTCTCTCCCTTTTTATGTTTCTCATTGACAGTGTGTGACAGTAGTTGGATAAGAGACTGCAGTCACACCCTTTCTTTCCCCGATGACAGACTGCATCCCCAGCCTCACCCCACCCGCCCTTCCCCTCTCACCCCTCCCCCACCTCCAGGACAGCACATGGGCCTGTGGGAACTTTTATCTCCAAGCTGACTTCTTTTCATTGTTCAAGACCGTCCCTGCTGACTGTGGAGCAGAACTAAGTTAGCAGCTTACAGTCCATTACGAAGCCAGCGAACTTGCCTGCGTGCGGTTTGGGATTTTAGCATCCTCTAACATCAACATGCTCGGGCTGACATGCCTGCGTCGGCGCTCTGGGTTTGTCTGTGCTGGAGACTCAGACAGGTGAGAGATAGGGAGCGTTGCTCGCTTGCCCTGTTCACACTGAGATCTATTGATCAGCAGCACAGGCTTTGCAGGGGGCTGAATGCTGATTGAGTCTGCCTGTCGGATCTGACTTGGGATTGGATCTACAAATGGGGGGAATGCTGAGAATGTGTGTGTTTGTGTATGCATGTATGAGAAGCAGAAATAGAAGAAGAAAGCCAAAGGCATGCATGTTATAAAGGGCAGCTGTCATTATTTTGCTGTGCAATACAGTCTTAAGAGCTGTGGCTTTGTTTACAGCAGCAAAAATCTTATGTATTTTATTTATAAACAGGTGTGTGTGTGTGTGTGTGTGTGTGTGTGTGTGTGTGTGTGTGTGTGTGTGTGTGGGGGGGAAGAGAGAAGAAAATGAGCAGAAAAGCTACAGGAGAAGTAAATGAGAAGATAAGCTGCATTTTTTTTTTATAGCCATAAGATTATGTGTGATGTCAGGATGTGAATGTTTGTGTGTCCATGCCTGTGTGTAACCACTGCAGCATCACACTTTCTCACCCAGATCCCCTCCCTCCTCCATCAGCCACCACATGCCCAAGCTGTTACATAATCCGTGTGGAAGCTACTGCTATGATAAAGCTCAGGGGGAAACCTCAGACCTTTTGTTTTTAAAACTTTTCAGCATGAAGTTTTACTGGTGTGTTTAGTAACAACAGTGCAAATTTCTTCAAACAACACGGTTACATATATTTAGATAGACTTTCTTTTTGTATTTGGAAAGCTTAACAAATGAGTAAATATTTTTTTAAAAACAGGACATTTCACATTGACTGCATTTCAAAATGAATAAATGAGAGTTGTGTACTATGTAGACAGAAATAAATGTGCAGTACAGCAAATCAGTGAGCGCTAGTCTCTAAGGTCCTTTTAAAAAAACTGAAGTACATAGTTATATACCACAACAAAGATGATGCTACATTTCATGTTTTTAAAGTGGTGTCACTTTGCTCCATCCATCTGTTATCTATATCCCTTATTCTAACGAGGGTCACAGGAGGGCTGCAGCCAATCCCAGCTGACACTGGGCAAGACATGGGGTACACCCTGGACAGGACACCAGCCTATCACAGGGCTGACACTTAGAGACGGACCTTTGCTTTTTAAAAAATAATGTACCTTTATTATTTACTCAGCTGATTAAAGTTGAGTTGTGCACAGCCTGAACAACATTAGATGATATATTAATGATGTATTAGTTTTCACCTTTGTCTGAATGTGCACATACAGTACATGCATCTATACTGCAGTTGTAATTTATGTTCACTACTGTATATTGTACTTGTTCTACATATAGTCATCTAAGTATATCACTATTTAAGGTGCTTTATATTGAAATAAAATGCACAAATCAGAAATAATATGAGCCATCTGAATGCAGATAAGTGGAAAAAGCACAATGAGATGGAAAAATCATTTGCATCCTCCTCCAGAAGGAAAGGGGCAAAAGAAGCAGATGTGGGAAACGTGGTCTTATTGTCTTTTAAAGACCATGAGTGCAAATTGTTTCCCCATGAGCAGCGTGTTTACCTTTATCGTTTTACTGCTATATTGACATCTCAAAATCATATGTATGTTAGCTTGTATATCTACAATGTGCTTGGATTAACCACATCTTCATTTGTATTTTTGGTGGTTCACACAGTTTAAGAGGATGCTGAATCGTGAGCTGACGCAGCTATCGGAGACAAGCCGCTCAGGGAATCAGGTGTCAGAGTTCATCGCCAGCACCTTCTTAGGTGAGTTTCAACATAATGAATAAACAGCAGATGTAAAAGGAATAAGCAAATATGGAACGGAGAGGGCTGCTGCACACTGAAAGCCTCGACACTGAAATAAAGCAAAAACATTTTAAAGCAGTATTTTGATGGAAATACAGTATATACTCAGTTGGCAGGCTATTCTTCATATTCACACTGTAGCTAAAAGCAGAGATTTATGCATTCATTAACTGTTTTTGAGAGGTGTTGATTCAACTCTTAACATTTTGGAGGTTGTAGTTTGTACTGCTGTTAAACTGTGTTAGGTTAAATACATTCGTAATATGTAGTCTACTGTCACTGATACAGGGTGGACAGCCAAATATCTTGTGTACCATTCCAAACATATCAGTGACACTGAAACTGATTTGCATACTGTAATTGAATGACCTAGCTTTATTTGCTGTTCTGCTGTTTTGTTGGTTGAATTAAATGAGTGTTACACCACAGTGACCTTCAACATACACTATATGAGTGTTAGCACGTCATCCAGCATGATGTATATGAGACTGTGGAAAAAATTATGTCTTTAAATGAGGAATTGTTTGACTTTTATTCATAGATGTGTTAAGGAAAACCCGGATTCCACCCACCTTAGCGTCAGTGTTATCAGAGCCCTTAGGATAGGAGATTTGTGACATTGAGGGGTCAAAAACAGCAGTGGGTCACGTGACTCATGCAGCTTCATATAGTTCCAAAGAGCTGATTCAGAATGTTTTTTGTATGGACCAGCAAGATTTATAAGTAAATTACTACTTTTAATGACTTGTACAGCTTTGCAAACTTTGTTTTGTTGTTGTAGGCATCTCAGCTAATTTATCTAGTTAACTAAATACCTAATTATTAAAGTGACCCAATATTTGAGAGATACAGTCAAAAAGGTTGTAAAACACGTTTTGACATGTCGCTAAGTTAAAATGCGTACAGCTATTTATTTCAGCTTCTTACTTTCCAAGATAGAACCCAAGTCGATGTAACTCTATGGCACTTCTCCTAATGTTCGGAACTGTACAACGTTCCCATGATCTGCCATTACCGTAAAAACAACAACAAAAAGTGGAGATTATGTCTGTCTCCTTGATCCACTCTGGGTGTTATGTGGCCCAGTGCTCATTAGTGTCTTGCCCGCTGGCCCCGCCCACACAACCCCACACACTTTACATTATGATGACATCACAAAAATAAAACTTACAAAGATAAAACCTCCGTGGATTAAAGATTCATAATACAAGTGCAATAATTGGCCCTGGCTATACTGTAGTTTGAAGTCTCCTGTCTTTATCATTGTGGTTTATGGAGAAAATGCTTTTTGGACCTCGTGAAGATTTTTTGGTGCAGTACTGTACGTTGCCATTGGGAAAAACTGGCTGAACGGCTGAGTGGCAAATGGTGCCAAATATTACTGAGTGGCAAATGAAGTTTCAACATAATGACTGTATTACTGAGTTTCAGTAAT